GGGCTTCGGTGGTACGGGTCCGCCGTGCGGCCCGGCGCTGAAATGCCCTCCCGTGGGCGGGAAGGGGCTCTCGGGCGGGCGGGCGGGCAGTAGGTTTGCTGGGCTCCGGCGACGGGGGGGGAAATAGTCACAGCCGAGACGTGTCGCGCAGGAGATAAATACGCTTGGCCCCACCTTTTATAGCGCTTGCTCATAAAACCCACCAAAGCTTTTTGGTTTTTTTTTTTTTGGGGGGGGACCCAGCTGCTGAAAAGCAGCAGCCGCTATTTATACTGCTTTTGGGCGTGAAACTGCTCTTTAGGTGTAAAATAGATCAGAAAGGGAAGTCATCCTGAAAATACTGCTTATTTCAGGCACAATATTACTAAAGCATTATTGAAGTTAAACTCTGCTGTTTCTCAGCATTTATGCTTATTTGTATTTTAGTTCAGACAATAAACTAGCAATGGGCTTTTTTGATTGATGTGCGGGCAAATACCTTAGGGCACTAGCTGCAAAACCTACAGTATAATTTAGAAATGATGTGAGAACATCATCAATTACATGTCTGCTTATTGGTTTAGAAAGGGAAATAAATGAAATAAAAAATAGAGGGGGGAAAAGATACCAACTTAAAAGTTCAGATTAGGCTGGAGTGACACAACTTAATACAGGAGAAATAAAAATTTAAGTACCTATGATTCTGTAGTGACAAAGTATCATGCAAACAACTGTTTGCTGACTTGGGACCCCATTAGTCCAATTGAAATAATTTCACACCGGACTAGAGAAATTGAAGTCAGGATGAGGAATCACAGCAAGCTATTTGTCCTGCAGAACCCTCCTGCGTCATCAAACAAATCTACGTTAACTAAAGAGGGAGCACAAGGACTTCCACAGCATTTGAACTACCTTAATCAGTTTTTACAAAATGAAAAAATGCATTGCACATTAGCAAAAAAGTTTAGTTAATCCAAGGTCAAAAATTAAGAAATTCTACTGACGTTAAACCTTCTACTTCCTTACAGGACAGCAAGCACATTTCTACAATTGCAACAGGAATATTAAGGTAGTGGAAACCGAGGGGGAAATCAGCAGACAGGTATATAAACACACAACTTGAAACTATTGCGATAGTTTTAGAATTGGCCGTTAGAGTAGTCATAATGTCAGAAAAAGTTAATTAAGCCAATGGCTTAATTAACAATGAAAAAATCCAGATTTACTTCTAAGATTCTGTTTGCTTAATAATAATCCTAGAACCTTTTATTTCAAAGGAGTCCAGCAAAATGCTTGTTTTAGCAACTTCTTGTTTTCAGCTACTCAACAATGTACCCAGATGCCAAAATCTCAAAGCAAATTCCTGAGCCAATTTTACTGCTGGAAGTGAAAAGATGTTTAGGCAACAGAATCGGGTCCAGCAACTTTAAATCAGACTTGAGAACCACGGCTTCATTTAGTTGTTTGTGTGCTTTTTTAATCTGTGCTAAAAATATTTTAGAAAGAAATTAAACATGACTGTAACAACTGAAGCACAACAAAACAAGCAGGTGCCTCCGTTTCAAATGACAGCTCAAAAAACCACCCTCCCCTCACTTCCCCTTATTTCTGCTCTCTCTCTTCCCCTCACTTGATGCAAATTTCTTTAACAATCAACATCTTTCCTTGACAAGCACGTTGTAAGACATTAGCAAGTGCTTTGAGGTAATTATTTCTGTAAGAAACGTTAGAGTATTGAAACTTGCAATATGCCTAGCACAGGACTAGGCTTTTCTTTTTAAAAGCCTTCTCCTCTGAGTGTTTTGAGGAAGATGTGGTTGTATTTGACAACAGAAGCTTTCAGTCTTCCTGAAGGGGTTAGATAACTGCAGCACCTCCCTCTCAGTACCTACTCTGTTCTTTCCCCGATACCGTTATTTTGGGCAATGGCTTTGCTGAGCAATTAGGAATACACTTAAGTCTCCAGAAGATGTAAGTTCCTTTATTTCAAAAGTAAGGGGTAAGTGAAGATAACTGTCTAATTTAGAAAAGGGAAGAGGATCCAAGTACTGGGATGAAACTGGCAAAAACTTCAAGGTTATTTACTGTCTATGTAGTATGTGCCATAACAGTCATTTTTCTGTTGGTTTAATAAATTAGTGTAGTCCTACCCTAACACTGCTTTAGTGCAGCACTAAGGATCAACGAAGGCTTGTGTGAAGCAAAGAACCACGCAAGAGTACCACCGCAAGATCTTAAAGTTTTTACTTCACCACCATCTTTCCAATAACAAAAAAAAAAATAAGAAAAAAAATCATCACTTTCACAGCACACTGTGAGAATGTCACATGTACCAACGCTATATTCTGCTTGATAAAGAGCAGCATCAGAAACAGCAATCAGTTAAAATGAAGTTGATCAGAATTTCTTAATTCCAAGCCATCCCACTAGATCAGCTCATTTTTAAATGTGTTGTTTTGGAGAGAAACATTGCTAGATTTTTAGAACTTGCTAAAATAAAAAGACTGACATTAAGAATAAAAGCATGAGAAAAAGAGAAATTTGAGTTTTCTTTTTGCACTTGTAAGCAAAAAGCTTAGTTTAAAAATAACGATGACCACTATTTAGTTTTCACAGTCTGCGATTATCTTTGCAGTAAGAATATTTGTTGCTTTACCCAGAATTTCCATTTAAAGACAGGATTATTATAGAGATTTATTTATTTGGTTTTTTCTTGCACTGAGTTCTTGGAACCATGTGTATATTAAGAGTGAAGCTAACTGAACTTATGCTTTGTTACGCAACTTGGATGCGGCTCTCAGGATTTCCTGGCACATCACCAAAGTCGTCCTCTGCTGGTTGGATTCAAATCTGTCTCTCATAGAGTACCCAATTACATTTACAGAGATAGTTAGAGCTACATTCCGTGTACTTCAAATAAAAAGGTCCAGACTTTCGCATATATAAAGACATCACTGTGTTAATTTAAACATTTTCATGTGATTGCAGCGCATAGTTTGGCTTTCCATTTTGCCCTTGGTGGAGAAGGATGAGAGGTTCACTGACATTGTGTCCATACACAATTTTTAATTAGTTTTTCAAGCAGCAATAGGGAAAAAAGAGGGATTCTCCTAGTGTGCTTTCCCACTAAATACTTTAGATGATCTAGATGATTTTTAATTTAAAAAAAAACAAACAAACACAAAACCAAACTAAAACATATAAGCTCTGAATCATGCAAAATATGACCACCTCAGCTACATTAGTCTAACTGTAACTGGGCAATTGGTGAAGTTGTCAGACCATCTGAAGAGGTAGTGACAGTCCATTCTCACAGTGCCAACCTGAAGTGTGGGCTAAGTTAAAAAAAAAAACAAAACAAAACAAACAAACAAAAAAAAACACCGAAAAACAAGCCACTGAGGCACCACCGTATGCTCGCTGTTTTCCTTTTTGGTATTCCCAGTCAACCACTCTCCCTTGACATTGGTAGTTGACATTTACCACTGCAACAACATAGTCAGAAGCAGTAAATTTGTGTTTCATTTCATTAGCAGCTCCGCACTCGGTGCTATTCATCATATATAGGTGGGTCTCCATCACCTGAAAACATTGCCAGTTTCTTTCCATGATTCTGCACGTGATCTTCGTTCATCTTCTCCAAAGCTTCAATCTAGAGAGCCAAAAATAAATGCATGCTGAAATCACAAAACCACACCTGTGCCAGAACATTTCTAAAGGGTGTTAAAAGGTTGCTTCAGATGACTGATCAGGCACATACAATATTTGTATTTCAATGATTCACTCACATGTATGGGACAATATACTTTGTAAGCACAGCTTGAAACATCCATTCTCAGCAAACTAGTGAAAGGAGTAGCACTCTTTTCAAGTCTCATGCTGTATAACTGAAATGCAGGAGTTGCAGGGAGGACTGAATGATTCTTAAGACTTCAAGCTGTATTCCCCAAATCACAGAAGCGTCCCCTTCTCCAACTCTGAACACCTCTACTGTAACTCAGCAAATCCATCAGCATTGCAGATATTCCAAGTAATACTAAGATTACAAATCCACTGCAATTGCTTTTAATGGTGAAAGTTGAAGACAGTTAAATGTTTTGTGCAATCAACGTAACACACTATGGTACTTATTATCTTCAGATTGTTATGTTTGGGTTACTTCCTCTTTAACTCCGGGGGAAATAATTTTAGTTTCTAGTGACTAAAGTAAAAATCTGAAGTTTAAGGATGGGCTGCTCAAATTCACCTACATGTAGACAGCAATGTAAGCCTTCCCCATAATACTTACAAGCAAAAAAGATGTAAAACAGCAACAAAACCCACCCCCGACACCAATGCTCACCATACAGCCAGTGAGTGAATTGGTTTTTGCTTAACTGGTACATTAGGATCTTGGAAAAGTGACATTGTGTTCCCTTTATGCCTCTTCCTCAGTTTGAGGACCTATCCCGGGAGCTAACTAGTTTCAAGCTCCCACCTACTACATGCTGGACTGTTGTTAGGAGAAGAATTGCCATGTGGCCCTTACTTTAATTAGTAAATATGGCATGTTTGACAACTTATTTTTATAAATGTCTGGTATCAGGATGCACATCTTGAGGAGTTAGAGCTAAAATTTGAAAATTAGAAGCCAAAGGTGACTAAGGATTCCTCGTCCACAGTTCTATTAGCGTGATTTTAGGCTTGAAATTTGAAAATGCTAGCCTAAACTTTAAGTTCCAGTAAATTGAATCTAAAACATGAAAAATAAGTAGTAGAACAATTACTATTTTTCACCCAGCTTTCCATTCTCTGCACAACCTTTAACATATGTAAGGAAAGACAACAAAGCTAGCTTAACACTGAAAGAAACAATTATGTGCAACATGAGGCCTTTTATACTTGGAAACAGGAAGATCAGGAAAGGGAGTAGAGAGCTCTCTCAATCGGAGTTTCAGAAAACGCTTTTACTATGTTGAAATTATCAAGTTTAAAAAAAAAAGATGCAGAACTATATATGAAATTATGCTCGCACACACTAATCATACAAACTAAACTTGGAAAGTTAAGGTATTACAATAGTTACTAGCTAACAAATTAAAATGTTAGACACAGAGAATGCTATACCTCTGCTTGGAAGTCTACTTCATTGTCAGCTGTAATTTTAAAACCTGAGACAGCATTGAAGAGTTCACGCTCATTAAGTGCTTCTGCCACACCTGCTTTCTGGAAAAACTAATCAAGATAAAAAGCACACATTAAACACCTTACAACACAAAACAAAATACTCCTTTTCCTTCCCCAAGTTACAATTACAATATTTAGTCAAAGTGACATTTGTGCTTTTGTTGACTTACAGATAAAAATAATTGAAAGAAGTTTTAAGTTCTCGTCGTACCATTTTATCCTTCCACACTTTTTTCACTTTCAGAGAACACCACCATCAGTATGGACAATACGCAAGAGTGATCTTACACACAGGTGGTGGTGATCATTTTTTACAGAGTTGTATTTGTTGATTTTTAGTTAGCTCTGAATTGATTTTATCTTGGAAAACATTCAGCGTAACAGAGGATTGTCAAATGAAGCGGTCCTACCTGTGAAACATTCCTACAGTCTCTGAACAGAAACTCAAGTCCATGAGGATGGGTTGGCTCCACAGACTGACTGACATCAATAAGCCAGACCTGCAGTCACAGAGAGAGAGCAATTCACTTTGCATTAACATTTCATGTTAGATGAAAACCTTCCTCCCCACATTCAGAATAAGCTCACCTTCCCATCATGCCAAAGCATGTTGTATTCACTCAAATCTGCATGGACCAGGTTGCACTCCTTATACAACTGTTGCATCATCTGCAAGGAACCAAATTAATGAATGAATTAAGTATGCTATACTCCAAATAAATATTGTTTGCATGACAATAACACAAAAAACCCTTTTCCCAATCACCCACCCAATTTATATAATTTTTTTCCAAGTCTTCAATAAAGTTTCATACAGGGAACCGCAGTTTTGTTGAACTGCCAGCAAACTAAGCTTTTATCACCAAGCTTAGCTTTGGCAAGTCAGACGAATCAGCCTGGTAAATTCATGTCAGCTCTGCCAACCAGCCCAAGTGCATGAGACAGATAAGCATGTTCTTTAAATATACCTGTCATTCTCACCCCTATCACACAGGAAAGCAGTCTCGCAGTTTTAGATACTGAATTCCCACTAGTATGCACATTCACTTAAAACATGGTCGTGTTGCTCTACTAGTCTCAAGATTTGAGGCACAGGACATTCACGTTATGAAGCTGCTGGGTTGGTTGGTTTTTTGTTGTGGTGTTGTTTGGGGTTTTTTTAACGTCTACAGGAAGCTAATAGTGAGTGGACAGTTAACAGGTACCCGTTCGAACCAATTACAGTAGAGTATCCATCACGCAATATTCTAATTCATTCTCTGATTTCTAGATTTGTTAAAAAGGGGGGTGGAGAAGGGGTTATCCACTGGAGAGTGCTCAAGCATTGTAAATTAAGTATTTGGTAAGCTCAGAAAAACTTCAGAGAACTTTCTAAACCACATACTGCTTCTGTAAAAGGAAGACTACTTGCTCACAATTCCTCTGCTGTGAAGTTTCTATTTGTCATCAAGTTCCAGCATATTTTCTACTCAGATTAAGATTCAATTTATTAATTTATTTTTTTTTAGTGCATAATTTCTTGTTTATTCTAAGTCACACATTAAACAGCAGCAAAATAAGCCTTTGGACTCCATATCTTGAAAGTGATGCAAGCATCCTGAAAAGTAAATAAATGCTGATTTGTCCTTTAAGTTATTCCCCTAAAAGAAAACACAACCCAGAACTGGAGGAGAAATCAGCATTGTCTTACATTAAGAATCTGATAGTAGGCCTTTTTCATATCTTCACTACTAAGTGTTACATCCTTTAGTTTAGGAGCTGGGACTTGATCCTGGCCAATGAAAGACATAACCAAGACGTGTTTCTTAAGGATAACCACTTGAGGACAAGGAATTCCTGCATTTTGCATTCTGTGAATCAGAAAATAGATACCAATTAACAAAACAAAACCTCCAAATCCCTACAGTTCTAGTTCCTGCTTGCTCATTTCCAATCTGAGAGCTGTGTGTGAGAAACTTGATCCAGAGTCAAAAAAGTCTTTGAAATAGACCAAACTGAAAACTGAATAAAAATACATGTTTCACATAGGAAAATTCAGATCTTAAAAGTCATAAGTAGGTCTAAAAACGCTCTCTGAAAACTAATTACTTTTACAGCTAGACCCTGTTAACTTCACAGGCTCGTAAATTCTTCAGCCAAATCCCTGAAGATGCTGACAATTCATTAAACTGTAAGAAACCAGAGGCTTCTTCAATCTGTGTCAGGTTGTATATTATTTAGCCTAAAAAGCAAATCTAAACTTCCACCCAAACATAGCATATCTTTCTTAAACAGAGAATAGGAAAACAACAGACATTTGGCATCTATCTTTTTTTTTTTTTTTCCTGCTTTACCTTGTTAAGTTATGCATTTCTTTCTCAGCCCACATACGAATAATCTTTCGTGGATTCAATTTACTGAAGCGGTCTTTAAATCTGTAGTCATCCTTAATGTATTTGTCACGGTTCTTGAATTCATTAAGAGTTGTTTTAAACACTTTGATGGCACATTCTGGAGGTATAACTTTATCTTCAGTTGCACTTCTCGTGGAAAAAGTAAAAAAATGTAGAAGAGTTAACTATTCACACCTTTAGAAGTAAATGCATGGTTTTAGTTCTTTTATAACATTGCAAGATACAGTGATTTTTAATATAAGAGAGGAAAAGATCTGATTTACTAGAAAATTTGGAAGCCAATTCAAGTTAATGCATGTACATGCTAATGGATGTACTTGCTTCAACAAATTACAAGTGAAAATCTTGCATTAAAACAATAATGGTACGTAATACTAAGCAAAAGAATACTCCTGAACATCATTCAAGCAAAGGTCAATTGAAGGAAAAAAAACCAACGCATCTTTTCTCCTCACTCTCAACTTACTTCTCTCTTGATGTCTCTAAATAGGTTACCTGTATTTGGGTTTTATTAGTTTTTTCTTACCTCACTTTAAACTCGTGGTGTTTCATTGCACTACAATCACTAACATACTACAATCCTCCCAGCATGGTAGTCTTTAAAACTGGACTCTTACATGACTTGTAAAGTGAACAGCATTCCAACACTGTTCTCAAAGTAAACTAAAAATAACAAACAGCACACCCACTTAATTGCACAGACGGAGCTGATAAATACAGCGATCTGTATGGAAAGACAATCTTCAGGTAGCCTAAGTTCATCATGACAGCTCTGCAGTCCGGGGCAGGTCAGTGGAAAGAGTTCCCCAAAATCTCAAAAGTTTGGGTGTTTTTTTTATATAAAAGGAGTACATATTTTTCCACAGGAAGCTACAGTGGATTTATCCCCCTTCATTAAATGGTCCCCAAAGAGGAAAGTGGGGATTTTTATTTTTTTTTTTTACTTTATGGTTGGTACCATCTGGTTTTCAGATTTGATTATTATCTGCATATACATGAATACAAACTTTAAGTCTTGGGAATGAAAAAAAAGTGCAGACTGTTTAAATATTTTTGTGGTTTCTGCTTTTTAAACCATCTCTGGTACTTAAAGCTACTGTCAGTAACAAACGTTATACTTACTTTCCTCCATATGCATGAAAAACAACGGATTCTTTTCCTGTGCTGATGCAGCCTGTTATGGTTTCCAGCATCCCAGCATTGACCATCTTGTACAGAAGTAAACGCGTTTTAGGATCCACTGCTTTCTCCTACAGGCAGGAAATGAATACTCAGTTCTTTAAAATAATTCTTTGCTTTACAGTGAGTTTAGAGTATTTATATACCGCAAGTGTTCATTCAACTAGGTGGAAAGAACAATGTTTTAAAAGCATTCTCTCAACTGATAGAAAGACAAAAAAAAAAAAAAAAACCAACACAAACCAAACAAACAGATGAAGCAAAGCCAAACTGCTCCAGCATGTCATATTAAGATTTCATACCCTCAGGTACCTTATCAGCTGTATTTTATACAGTATTTTACCAGTTACACATAAAGTACAGACTGTGGCTCAAGAGTACTTTCTACAGTGTTTTCAATAAGTCTTTACAAATCATGAATCAAAATATCCCAAATATCATACTCCTTTTATATAAGTAACAAT